GTTTTCGACCGAATCGCGAACGATTCGAGGCCGACGCGAAGTCGAGTGCGAGAGTTCACGCACCGCGCCTCTCTCGCTCGTGGACACATTGGCCATACACATGGGTGAATATTACAAAAGTTTCCGAGCTTTTCGGGCGGCGTCGGTGAAAGCTAATAAGTATCGAGAAACACGATCTCGAAGTAACTTTTAAGAACTCACGCGAAAGCCCAAGGGTTAGTTGCACCCCAAAGGGTCGCCGGCGGGGACGAGTCGACTAGAGGGTGGTACTTTATGAACACGCCTCACATAAATTGTCGCGGCTCTTTAAGAAATTGGAAAGGCGCGAGCGCAGAAACAGCTTGCGTCGAGTGGCTGGCAACTTTTTCAAGTTCTCACCGGAGGGCGGGGGGGACACCGCGAGGAGGGAAGGCCCGAAGAAATGGCGCAGAAATCCCGAAAGAGCGGACGAAGGCGCGACGTCGCCCCCTCCCCCTCTCCCTTTCTTCGCTCTTTACGCTTCTCACCTACGAGAGAAAGAGGGACGATCGATTCGGCCGAAGACCTACGCGTTGCCCGAGCCTCCCCCGTCCGCGTTTCGGGAAAGATCGTCCGGTCGGTTCGAGTCCGCCGATATCGGCGACGGTCTCTCCAAACTTTTAATATTCGTTCGTCCTTCCGTCGTCGAAAATAACCGCTTCGCGTTGCCGGTGGGACGCATTTCCCCCGCATGTAATCTTCGCCAGACAAGATATTACATTTGAATAAATGTCATCGTCGATAACGGCTCGCAAATACGTTATCGGCGAAACGGCTCGGTAAACATCCCGCGGGAAATATTTGCTAATATCGATCATATCGTCATTAATAGTATACGGCACTTTGCGGCAGTTTCGAGCTCCTCTCGTGCCCCCTCGCTCCTCACCCCTCGCCCCTCGCCCCTCGCCGGCATCCTGCCTCCGCCCCGCGACCGCAGCCGTCAGGCTGCGGCAGATCGCGGTCCTCCCCGCGAGATCTTCAAAATTCAAATTACTCGGAACGTATCTCCATGCGTGCCTCGAATATCCCCCGACTCGGAAAAATCCTCGTTCCCCCGAGACTCTCGTCGACGTCTCCGAATCGCCTTTTTTTTCTTCGACGACGGATCGGCGCGATGACCGGTCCGGGCTGTGGATCGGGTACCGGGACGACGGAACGTAAAACGAATCGCGCGCTTCCGGAACCGACGACTCGAATCGACTCCCCGGAAGGTAGGACGTGCCTTCTCGGTTCTCGGTATAAATTGAATTTGTAAAATCAGAGATCGTTCGGGGGGGGGGAGTCAGGGGGAGTCGAGGACTCGACTCGACTCGATTACGACGGGTAATTTCGGTCCGGCGAATCACGGCTCTCGCTTTGTCGGAGTTGGACGGAGACGCCCGCCGGAGAGAGACGGATAATTGCTGCCCGGCCGGCCGGCCGCTAATCCCGGGCAAATATCGTCGATTGACGTTAATTCGAAGCGATCGGAGCCGAGCGGCTCCGCGGCGACTTTTCGCCGAGCGTGACGCCTTTCGGACCGGGCGGCCGTCGCTCGACCGGAAGACCGGGGACTTTCTCGATTCGACCGCAATTTCAAGAATTCGGGGAACGAGACGACGAGCGGTCCCATTTTCCCAATCCATTCATCTACGGTTCGGTTGATTCGGCAATCCGAAACGACGTCGGGACGCGCATGAAATATCTCAAAGGCGATAACTCGACGGATGGTCCCGAGCGAGGAAGTGCTCTCGCGGAACGAGCGATACCCCCGGATGCCCCCCCGGATGCCCCGCCGAAACGATCGAATCGTTGGAACGTCTCGGTGATCGTGCCCGGCATTCGTAACCACGGCTTTAAACTTTTATCTAGCCACCATTTATCGAGCGAGCCGACGTTAATCGGAGGCGAGCGCGTATCCCGGAGCGTCCCCGGGTGCGGAACCGAAAAATCAATTTGTAAAATCTCCGGGAGAGACGAGGCGTCGAAAAATTGGAGGCCCGCGTCAGGTGCGGCGAGACGATCCGATAGGAGAAACGCAAATTGACGGGCGATCGGTGGGTTTCGCTCCTCGCCCCTCGCATCCGCGGACCACCCCTTTGCCCGTCCACGCGACCGCTCATCCCCGACGGAAGCGCCCGCCGTGTTTACCACAATTATTAAATGTAAACTCATATTTCGTAATTGCCAAATATTGGCCGTGCCAATCGACGCGGCTCGATGCGCCTCGCAAGCGTGGCCCGCGTTCCGCGCTTTTTCTCCCGTAATCTGCGACTCTCTCCAGCGGAGAGTAACCTCGACCGTCTCGTTTTCGCACTTCCGCGCGTGCTTCGCGACCGATCGAAAAATTGCTTCCGTTATTTTCGTCTCGTCTTGGCCGGGGGAAGGTCGAGTCCGTGGCGACGGCATCCGGTTCCTCCGCTCGGAAAATCGCGGCGACGACCCGACTTCCCGATCGACCGGACGGACCGATGCCTACCCCCGCCGAGGGGAGAAAACGGCGCGGCCGATAAAAAAGTGGAATATCGGCCGCGCCGATGACGGCGTCCCTCGCGAGGCGGGAATATCCACGGAGTGGCGTCAGCTTGTGTAACTATCGGTAATTAATCAGAATCATCCCGTACACAGCGGCGGCGGTGGCGGCGGTGGCGGCGGCGTCGTCGGGCGTAGGGCGAGGGGTAGTTAACCAGTGACGTCACGCCTGTGGCGACATCTGGCCGAGCACTAGCCGGTCACCGCCGGGACGCTGCCCGCTGGACACTAACTCCGGATCAAAATTACCCTTGCGTTACGGAACGTGTACCGGGTGGTTAAAATTAATTCCGCATTCGCTACCCCCGCCGCGACTCGACTCGACCCGACTCGACCCGACTCGACCCGACTCGACGCGATCGGCCGCCTCGACGGAGATCGGCGAGCGTCCCGACGTCGCGGCCGCGTCGAGAGGATTTCGACTCGGGGCGGCGGCGCAGGCGCGCGCGGTAAATCGCGTCCGGCTCGAGCCCGAGGGTCGCTAGGATTAAAGCTAATTTCGGCGATCCAATTTAATTGAGCGATTAACGGCTAAATAGCCCCTTCCAAAACAAATCGTCCGGGGTGTCCGGCACGGTGGAAAATATAATTCAAAGATATTTATGGCGGGATTACCGCTGGAATTGGGTATCTAATATACATGTCCCGTCCGAACGGGAATCTATTGGCAGGGAGGCCGGATGCGCGCCGCGCCGATTCGCGGACAGTTTTTGCCAGGCGAAACTCTCTCGTTTGCGGAATCGAATCGACGGATCGAGGAACGGCCCGGTCAAGGGGACGGTTGATACCGACGCGCGATCGGATCCTCGTTAAAATGCCGTTCTACCCAGTCCCTTCCCTCGCCGAAGAATCGGTTCCATCGACGTCGAGAGATCGGTCCCGGTTCGGGTCGGTCGTTCCGCCCCCGAGCTCGGTTTGCGCGAAAATCTGCCGACGAGTCGTTTAACGAGAGCCGCTCGAAATATTTCGTAAAGCGTCAAAACGCGAAACGAGAGGAGCACCGAAATTCCGAGCCGGGCAAACCGAGCGCGCGTCCTTGAAAACGTATTATCAAAAATGTATCGTTCTTTTGAGAGTTATAGAGCCGCCTGTTGATATAACAACGATTTTAATCCGCTTGTTAACTTTGACCCAGGCAACGTTCGAAACGATTTAATTCCGCTTATATCGTCGCGCCATCAAATTAGTCCGGCAGAGGGACTCGAGTGTATAATTTTACATGAGCTCTCGGATATTCCGAAAATTTCATACTTTTCCCCCCGACCACCCGCGCTCGAGATCGGATACGAATCGACGGATAATGGAAATGGATTCCAGGTTAATTGCAATTGTGCAATGTCGGCTGATTATAAATGCGAATATCTATCTCTGGTCCTACGAGTCGCGACGCCCACTACCACCTCCGCCACATATTGTAGATTCGATTAATGATATTCGACGAAACCATTGTAAAATTGACTCTGACGGATCGCGTCATTTATCACGCGGAACGTCGGACAACCTATCGGAGGCGCCGTCTTATTTATGTCCCTTCTATTTGAGTCAACCGATCGCGCATCTTTCCTCCTTTCCGTTCTCGATTTTTATCCCATTCCTGCCGAAAACTCCGCGACGAACCTTTCATCGTCCGGAACGATCGAGCAATCGGCGCCGTTCCTCCGGATTACGTCAAAATGGAAGTGGGTACTTACGGAAGCAACGAATCGTCTCATCTTTGGGCGTCGTTGCATCGGACGAAGGGTGACATCCGTGCACCTAACCGCGTCGAAGAGGACACCGCGATCGCGGGAGCGCCCGAGCTTCTGGAACGATCGATAATATTCGGGAAATGGTTGGCACGCGACAATTTTAAAGGAAGCGTTATTCCAATTCGGGACCTCGACGAGAAATTCGCGACTCCGGAAGAAACGGAAATATGACTAAAAGATACCTGCAAATCAAACGAGTCCTCTCGTCCCGTCCTCGAGAGCGTTCCGATCGCGTATCGGCGTCGCTTTGTTCCTGGCGTGTTTACTCGTCCGACCCCAGGCCGATGGAACGATCGCGCGACTCGCGATTCTCCGGAATGCGCGCCTTTGTTTATCCGCGCGTCGGGGCCAGGGTTGGGGGAGGGAAGGGGGAGGAAAGGCCCCGGCGGCGAGAGGACGCTCAAAAGGTGGGCAAAAAGAGACTCGGCCGGGCGGGAGTGGGGAAGGAAGGAGGGACCGGCCGTCTTCGGAAGGTAGCCACCCCCGAGTCGTGCCCCCCGACGGGGGCGCCCTATCATCACCCCGAGCTTGCTCCGGCCCGCGAGCTCGGAACCCGCCCAGTAGCGTGCGCAGGTACCGCCTGTCGGCCAATCGGTGTCTGCAAGCTCCGAAAGCTCCGCTGCGGCAGTCCGCGGGCCGAGCCGCCCGCCAAACACCACGTGCCACGCGACCGGGCCGCACGTGCGACCGACCCGACCCGACCGCTCTCGAGGACCGAGGAATCGGCCAGCTCCCGGCGCGGACTCCCAGGACGACGGGAACCGATGACTTCGCATCCTTCTGCCCCGTGAGTACACCTTTGATGACGGTTTTTCGGACGGAACGAAGACGGGGAACGCGACAAGACTCGCTCGGGCACGGTAATTCGAGACGTCGTCTCGCGTCGCCAAGTAATTATCGCCGGTGCCGAATTCGCGGAAACGATTTTTTCGCGGCGAATCTTTCACGCGCTCCTGACTTTTAAACGATTTCGAGCGGCGAGTTCAAAAAGGTCCTCGTTGGAATTTGTCGCGGTAGGTTCGTTGCATCCGACCCGGCATATCCGATCGAACTTTTAAATCGGCAGCCGATCGACGACGACTCGACTTCCGTGAGACGCATTTATCGCGAGGATGGCCGATATTCAACAGTTGGTCCTTCTTTTATCTCTCGAAGCTCGTCCCCTCCCTCCTGCCGGTGGCGGGGCCACCCCAGCCCTTAGACGCGGCGCTCGCAAGCCCTCGATCCGTGGAACTTTATTAGAAGTGGCGTGTCCTGCGTAAGTAGGGCTGTAGGCGCTTCCGGATTAAATGGGAGGTAGGCGCGTCCCGGGTCTCGAGGGGTCGCTTCGTTCGCTGCTTTTCGAGAGCTTTAAAGTGCCTCCCTTTTTTCTTCATCCCTCTGCCGACCGTTTTCCCCTTCGCGCCGCAATCGTCGAGCTTCCGAAAATTATCCGTTATACCGATTTGGGTCGTCGCGTCGCGTCCTGGAATCGGGATGGCGCCGGGTGAAAGAGGAATTCGTTCTTTAATTTTATCGGAAGCGCGGTCTCGGGCGAAAGTGCTTCGATATTCGAGACGTCCTCCGGCGACGACCTCGTCCGGACGAAATCAAACGGGCCCCTCGCTCGGCCGATCGAAACAAACGATTTTGCGACTCGTCGACCCAGCGTCGATACGGAAAACCCGCCTCGTTCCGACGGCGTTCCGCGAGAGTCGGGGATCCTTCCTCGAAGACTCGGTCCCACTCGCGAGGAATTTTCGGGGCATCGGATCTCGGCTCGCGTCAGCCATAGGTGAAACATATTTACCTTGTGAACCGGCCGAGTGCGAGCAATAAATAGCGCGGCGGGGGAGGACGGGCCAAGGGGTGCAGGGGCGATTACGCTTCCGAGCCCCGGTGGAGCTCGAACTACCCTACTCGTTTGTTTCACCCCGACCCACCCCCGGGCAGCGGCACTACGGGCGCACCCATACGAAGGTATGCAATTTTGGTGTCGGGAATGCCGGTCGAATGCCCGCCGGTATCACCCCGTCCGCGGGTCCGCGTCGCGAGCCCTCGCCCCGGCTCCGACTTTTCAAAATCTGCCCCGACTCCGCGACCCCTCGACCCCTCGACCCCTCGACCCCTCGACTCGTCGCGAGAGGACGGGGGCCGAGAAAGGGATCGCCGGACCGTGGCCGGGAATATTGCTCCTCGAGGTACGCCCGAGGTCGAAGGGCTCGTCAAATTTCGTTTGATGTCGAGGAACCTCTGCCGCGCCCCTCTTGGCCGGAAAGGCGTCTTGGCCCCGAAGGAGAGGGGCGGCGGCCGGCATCGGAGCGCGAGGCCTCCGGGGCCCCCGGGGCCCCGGGTGGCATCGACGATCGGCCGCGCATATCTCCCCTCTCGGTTATGTCTTGAATGTCTCTCCGGCCTTAGCGAAGGCTAAGGGAGGTCGGGGCTCGCGAGGGGCGGGGGCGGGCCGAAAGCCGGGCCGAGCATGGCAGCAATGAGGTTGAGAGGCTGCGGTCAGATGCCAGTCTAACCATGTCTAGCACACGTTACTTGCAGGCGGGCCGACGCGCGCCGGGATGCACTCGCAGCATCCGAGCAATGCGGATCGGGACTCGTTCCACCCTCCCTCGCTGCGCCCCCTTCGAGCTCCCGTATCCCCGGCTCGCGACTTCTTTTCCGCGACGCGACCCTTCGACGGCCCTGGACGCGCGACGTTGACGTCCGCGCACGCGTCGCTCCGGCAGCTCGTGCGCAAAATTTTCAACGAACGACCCGTAAACATTCCGCACTCGTGTAGAAGCCCATTTCGGAAGCTCTGCGGCCGGCAGCGCGAATTCCGCGTTGCGTCCCGCAACTCCCGCATTCCGCCGTGAAATTGCGTGCCCCCAAAAATCGGGCTAAACAGGCGCAACCAAATCGACGCGCTTTCCTCGCAATTACTCCGAGGCATTTAATTGAATCGCGCCGTTCCTCGAGGTTTTTCCGCCGGGGCGCGGTGGCCTCCGGAGTTGCTCCGCGTTGCCTTTGCCGCGTCGATTCCGCCCCTGTCGGAGGAAGGAACCGTCTTCTCGCTCGATCGCCCGGCCGGTCCCGACGGGAACCCCTTCGGGCGTCGATAAAACGGACGCAAATATCCCGATTGTGGGGTAACGGCAGTGGCGGCCATTGCCGTGCGCCGCGTGAATTATTTCGCGAGGCAAACACCTAAGTATACGGAGCCTGTAAACACGCTGGCCGTTTGATCGAGGGGTGGCACGGGAACGGGAGCGGGAACGGGAACGGAAACGGGCACGGGTCGAGCGGGGGTGCGGGTGGGTCACCGGTGCGGTGCGGGAGGGTGGGTAATTAATAGCAAACCCGTATAAATCAGAGACAGGCTGGATGTGCATCGGGAGCGGGAGCGGGAGCGGGAACGTACCGCCGGGTCGGGATTATGCCCAGAGGGGCGGTTACCCCCGCGACTCGCTAATTTTTCAAACGGCCGCCATAATGGTCCCGGCTAATTACTGATTTTTATCTGGGTGCCCAACGAGGGCCGCGAGGATCCGCGAGTGGACGGGTCGGGGGCCGGGGGGGTAATTATTAACCCGCACGCCAGGGCGATTCGCCCACTAACGCGATCCGAGGGCCGATTCCGCGATCGACGATTCGACCTCCCTCTTCTCTCGTCCTGCCTTCGAGGAGGATCCGTCGAAGACGCGAGTCCAACCGCGGCGCGGGCATATTTAACGGTATATTCCGCGCGGAGCGGATATCTTTCTCAAATTTGGCAAATATCCGGCAGCTTCCCCAGAGTTTCGACTCGCGGCTGCGTTCAACTTCTTATCTGCATTATAGAGGACGACTCAACTTGCATGCCAGGCCGGGCCTTCTGGCGGGGTAGATATACGGTTAACTACCCCCAGACACCTATGTACCCAACGTAACCCATGTAAGCTCACGCTAGAACAAATTTGCCCCACCGCATCTCCCGCTCTAGGCCTTGATCCCCGGCCGTGCCGGTCCTTTCTCACCCCCTAATTCTCCGCTGGAACCACCCCGGCCTCCCCGACCCAAGGCCCCCTCGGCTCCCGATGTTATGAAGTTGTGTTGAACTTTTCGCGAGCATAGTTTGCAGAACACCCCCGGGTGACTGCAAGAGAGGAGGTCGGAGTGGAGGGCGGAGTGGAGGCCGCTTACCTTGCTTCGTGACATATACCTACGGGCCTGTAACGAGGGTAAAGAGTTTCGAACAAAGTACGCGAGAAACGCTACGTTTCCGCGGTAACCGAGCCTTCTTCCTTCTTCTCCGTTCGCCGCGGACGCTCTCTCATCGCGAACGTCTCGATCGGCGCGATGCGTCGCCTCGACTCGACTCCCGTTCGACCAGGGGCGGCGGGAAAATGCGGGAAAATGCGGGAAATTCGTTTGGCGGGTACTTTGGGCCATGCGTTTAGAAATTGCTAGCATGGCGGTGTCGAGAGCAGGCTTCGAGAACTTACGACTTAACTTGGGCGAGATAGGGCGAGGGATTGTGGAGGTAACGACGTTAGAACGTTATTAGATTTACCGCGAGCACCTACCCCGCGGCACTTCCGCGCCCTGTACCCGCGCGCCTCTCCATCCGCCCTCGGCGCCCTATGGAATCGTTCCTCGATCAACGCGGGTGACTTTAAACGTCGCTCGGACCTCTCACCTCTGAACCCGTACGTACATCGACGGGCACGCCGAGTGTCCCGGAATCGAGAAGGACCGTTTTCGAAATCGCGGCCGCGCGCATCGAGAGACGGAACGTCGATACTCGGGGCAGGACTCGTCGAAGTCGCGGGAAGAAAATCGAAGAATCCCGATCGGGACGGCGGCGCGACCATTGAGCATCTACCCTTAAGATAAGGGTTGTTTCACCCGGTACCCTCGTACGTTTCCGCTATCTGACGCTAAACGACACCGGTGGCCGTGGCTTGCCACACGTATAAAAGGGGTGGGTGGACGGATCGGGACCCGAGGACGCGGGACGCTCCTACATAATACGCCAGCACATTACTGTCGAAATCCTCTAGATAACCGGGAATTTAGAACGGCGAGACAGAATTTTTTCGGGATCCCGGTCTGAAAAAATATCCGCTGGTCGTTCCAGAGATTTACCTTCCCTCGAGATTGCCCGTGAACTTCCCGGCGTTCCGTTATTTCTCCCGCCGCTCGCCACCGCCCCTCGTTTTTCCCAGGTGCTTCGCTCTTTTTCGGCTTAACCCGAGTGCTCGAGTTTCCGAAGTGGCGCGTGCATCCGTCGTCGTCTTCGAACGTTCGACTCCCTGGGCAGCTTATTAAAATCGGTCGCGTCTCGCCCACTTCTCAGGGAACGGTAATTCTCCGGAGAAGTCCCCTCTGCCGTCTCGGACTTCATCGAGGGCGACTCGAAACTTTCCTTCGACGCGTGAGTCGGTTGACAAAAATTGCTTCCGTTCCTTGCCGACGGAATCGAAATCGCCTTTCGGCCCTTTGGACGTCGAAAATCGCTATGTATCGAAGAAAAAAAAAAAATGAGAAAAGTCCAAGTTCCGTTTCTACAACGTTCTTGGCGCGAATGTCGCTCGAAGCGGTTTCGCTTTCGTCGGTGATAACGATTTCGAACCGGGCCAAGCGAGTCGGGCACAAAAGCCGGGCGCATTCTTCTCCTTATCCCCCGACTCATTTAAGGCTAACTGTCCACAACGGGGGTGCAAACTGCCCTTATCTGCGGACGTTTATGCCCACGGCTTATCTAACCTACCCCGACCGCTTCATGCTCGCTAACAACTAGGCACACTCGGCGAACCCTTCTTCCCCCCTCGG